TAAACCAGAACACTCTACGGGTGTTTACTCTCAGAAGTGAGAGTAACTACGCGCGCCCAGAGTAACTACTATTATACACAAGAGTGATCACTACAGAAAGGGAAAAGCCTGAGGTATGTTGTGCGTGATCACTCTTATTTACAAGAGTGATCACTATGAGGGCGCATCAGACTTAGTATATATAGTTTTTTAGAAATTAGGGTATGGATCTTTTCATAATTTTAGATTCTTTTGCCACTTTGGGAGCATTTTGTAGAGTTTAGGATCCTTGGGTGACAGCCAAGGCCAATCTTAGGGTTTGATTTACAATTTCTCTTTATTTTTCTTTAATTCTTGCATTATGTCATTGAATTCCCTTTACTTTCATCTTAAATTTGTAAGTCCCATCCTTATGGAGGGCTAAACTTTCTTATAATCCTTAGTGAGTTCATGGATTCATGGATTCTTGAATTTTTGGGTATGAATGTCAATATAATTCCCTTTCCTTTATGAATTTATATTTCCTAACTCTTTGAATTGAATTAATGTTTGAATGAGGGGGACATTGCTTAATTAACCCTAATTCATTTTAATGAAATTCTTAACTTGGTTTGCTTAATCCTAAGTTAATTTCTAAGGTTGCGTAATCTTAGGGAAAAGGATTGGAGCCCATGTAAATTTCTTAATTTGTATGGGACTTTAAGGTTAATTCTTGCTTTTTGAGTTACCCTAATTCAGAGGAAGAGGAAAAGAATTGAATCTTGATAGAGATAGGGATAGAATTACATGAACAAACTAAGGATTGCACATTTCATTGATTGAACTCATTAATTTCATCACTTGCCTTTACATTAAAATTGGAATCACACAAAACCCCTTGTTTTAATTGCTTTTATAGTAAATGTTTACAACATGTTCAATGTATGTTGCAAACCAAAGTCATCGGAGACAACCTAGGCTTGCATCCTTGATACTATAAATTTTTATGCATACTTTGATGAAGGTTGACGAAAAATCTTTATGCGAAACAAAAATTTGTTCATCAGTGATCTTCCTTTTATGTTTTTGAGTTTCTGTATTTTTCTCAACTCTTCCTTTTCCTTAAATTCCTTATGATTATTGAGAGAAAATACTCTCATGAAAGTATAACCGTGAACAAGAGAGAGAAAATGTAACCTTTATTTTAATAACCCTTCTTTTATTTTATATGAAGGGAGGGTGAAAGTTTCCTTATAATTGTATTTATAATTATATCTTTATTAACTCTTGTTTGGGGTGAGAAAAATTTTCTAAGTTAAAAATTACATTGAAAGAAGCAAAATTTTGACAAGTACTTGGGATTCAAGTTGTATTTTTTGAGCATTCTCGAGAGAATCCAAGTTATATTTCAAGGAAAATGCTAAGACCCCATCAACCAAAAAAAAGGACTCGGCAGATTCTTGGGGAATAAAAGGGCCTAAAAATGCATGAGGTTTTGAGCCTAAAGAAAAAGGGACAAATACCTGAGATTTCCAAATAGCTAGCTTCTTCTCCTCGAGAGGCGGCTCAGGAAGATAGCTTAAATGACCTAGAGGTACGAGCTCATCATTTGAGAAAGTTGAAGGAACCTTCGATTTGGATGCTATCTTTCGAGAGAAAATGAAAGGAATAGAGGAGGCAAGAAAGACTTTGACACAAAAGGAGCAGAAGAGAGAGAACAGAGCTCTTGAGAAGATGAAGTAAAAATAAAAGCGTAAAAATGAGAAGGTAACTCCACCTTATATACTAGTCCCAATCTTGTGTCAGGCCCATGGAATAGCCCAAATCCATATTGTTTAGGCAATTAGTGGGAAGCTGAAGAGAAAGTAGGGCACCTTTTCGATAAAAAAAATCACCTCAAATCCCCCATAGAACGACGCACGTCTTCGTAATGGGACGTTTTGAGTAACTGCCAGGCGTAGGCTGCATTAAATGCGCCGACTTTGGGTGACGTACCTAACATAAAGCAGGTAAATGGCAGAGGCACCATAAAAATGGTGGGAAATCTAAAAATTGAAAATTTTCCAATTAATACTAAAAATAAAAATATTAAAATCTCATAAATTTGAGAAATTATTTTGGGAGGCATCTATTTGGGGTGAGGAAAATTTTCTAAGTTAAAAAATTACATTGAAAGAAGCAACATTTTGACAAGTTTTAAAAGGTTGGAGAAGGGGCCTCTTTCCTAGGCAAAAAGTAAACCTGAATCCAAGAAGCATTGAAAGGTGGATTAGACCCATTACTTGAAAAAGGAAAATTTCAAGTAGTTTTAGAGATTTTTGTCACATTCCTAATTTCCCTCAAAACTGCTTGAAAGATGAAGAGTAATAAATTATTCCAAGTCCACAAAACTAAAGGCCTTTTCGAGGTGTTTTCGAGGATGCCTTGGCCCCTGGATTAAGAATAACCAAAACTGCTCGAAAAATGGAAACGATCAGATATTGTTCCAAGTCCACAAGATGAGGATTTTTTGAGAAGTTTTTGAGTAGCCCTCAGATTTCTTACACCCAAAACTGCTCGAAAAACAAGAACAACAAGAAAATATTCTAAGTCCACAGGATTGGAAATCTTTTCGCGGAGTCTTTTTAGGGTTTCTATGTCCCTAGCAACACAAAACTGCTCGAAAAACAAAAAGGGTTAGAAAACATTCTAAGTCCACCAACCTGACAGAGCTCCAGATCTTCTTCAGAATTGCTTGAAAACCAAGAAGCGTAAAATATTCTAAGTCCACAAATCTGATTGAGCTCCATATTCCCTCCAAAATTGCTGGAAAAGTAGGAATGATCAGAGACAATATTCTAAGTTCACGAGGCCAAGATAAGCTCTCAAACCCTAGAATTAGTAAAAAAAAAAAAAAAGTCAAGAGAAAAATAGTTTAAGGCCATAATGTTAAATAAGTTTCCTAGATTGCTCCCAGAAATGCTCGAAAGAGCGAAAATAAAAAGTCCTAATAAGACTCAAAAGCTAATATAAGGTTCAAAAAATGGCCACCAACAGTCACCAGCAGTTACCACCAGACGAAGGTTCAATAATATGAAGACAGATTGTGGGCGATAGTAGTTATGGGAGAAGTCACAACCGATAGCACGATCATAAAGCTATCATGGATAATGAGCATCAACAGTGGAAGATAGTTATTAAAAAGTGCCTGCCAAAAGAGGAGAACGGCGACGATCCTTGCCTATAAATACTTTAAAGTTTCATTTTCCAGGAGATGACTTTTTGCACCCAAAACCTCTGCACGTTGAAAACCTGCACCGCGCCAGACACTAGCTATCAGGAGACTCACGGTGTTGTTGCTCATTGCTAGGAGTCGTACGTTTAATTTATGCATATTTACCTTTCCGTATTTTAATTCCAGTTCGTTTGCTTATTTCTTTTCTGCAATTTGGTTCTTGTTTTAACAAATTATTGTAAAAACCTCTACACTGTAATTCAGTTTTATATTATTCTTGTTGAACAATTTATTTTACAACATTCATTTAATTACAATACACTTAAAAAAACCTAAAGAGGACCTAATCCAGTCTCCAGATTGTTCTTAGATTATTTGTTTATAAATTGTTATTTTTCATCGTAAACAACTCTATATTTTATATTTAACAGCTACCACATTAAATTTTTAATTAAAATTATACTATAAATTACATAACACACTTTAAAGATTATTAAAATAATTAAACCGTACTTGTGACTTCAACTGTTATCTCGTTTTTATTGTCATGGCTTATTACTATATATATTCTTTTAACTGTACTATAAAAGACTAATGTCAACAAGTCACAGAAATTGAATACTTATGATTTTCTTCATTTACTTCGTATGCGTTCGACATTTTGTAAACTAATATCTATATGCAATCATTATTTAAAATAAAACATTTCTGCAGTAAATATATCATTTTAGAAATGAGGAGGATTAGGTTATCTTGACTTTCTTGCGGTTTACGAACCTTATTGAGTTTTATCATTTTGCCAGGGTTCTCTACGAGTTTCAAGATACGCAGAGGAATATGTAATTCCTCATGGTGATTGGTTTGTAATCGTTTCCTCTCCACATTATCTGTCAGAAATTGTAACTCTCTTTTTCTTGGTGTCTATTATTTCTACTGTTGTGACTGATAGATATGGTATGGATAAGCCTAATATTTGATAATGATGAAGGTTATATACGCTAGTTTTGTGGTCGCTACTGGAGGATCCAACCTTAAAATCTGGTTATAATGTTTTTATGGTAATATTTCGTCTCCAGAAGAATTATAATGCTTTAAAGTAATGATCTTTGGTTTTGATTTGCTGTTTGTACATTTCATTTTGTGGGTACAGTGGCAAATCTGACATTTGCAGCTGCGGAAACACACAGTTGGTATCGTCAGAAATTTTCTTTTTTAAAAAATAATTTTTATTATATTAAGAATCTAAAATTATAATATATATATATATTATAAAAATTATTATTTTTAAGTATTTAAAATTAACTTTACGCATTAGTTTTATCAAAATCGTAATTTATTCCGATCAATATTTTATGTATATATATTTTTCTAATGTATCCTCAATTTCATATAGCATATTTATATTGTTTGAGGTTACGCATTCACGTTAAGAAATCTTTAATTGATGTACCAAGATATCCCTATCTATTTTCTTTGCCTTCAAATCAACCATTTAGATAGAATATAAACTATATATTTTTACTTGAAAAAGATAATAGATTAAAGAAAATAATTAATAAAGTATATGATTATGATAATTAATTAAAGAAATTATTTATAATATTAAATAAAAATATATTTAAAATAATAAAAATTTAATACATTAAATAAAAGCAAAAAATAATAAATGATATGAAATAGAAAGGGTAATTGATGTAATAATTTATTTATTTCAAGTTTTAACAAAGTCACATTTATTTATTATCCATACACTTATTTACACTTACACATTGTGGCAAGCTCGACGGAAACTACAACACGTGTAGTCACCAACACTGCTGTGCACTTCTCGTAGAATCTTGTCCCACCACTCTCTCTCTCTCTCTCTCTCTCTCTCTCTCCTTCTTCTGCTTGTTCTCTGCACCTTTCACCTATTTTCCCCCAAATTGTACGCACCAAACTCACATATAGCAGGTTTGTTTCTTCAATCCAACTTCATTTTTGTATGTTTCGTTTTGTGTTTTCAATTGCCCTTCATTTATATATGTAACTTGCTGATCTAATCGATACCCATTTGTGAATTATTCTCAAATTGACTAATTTTTTTCTTAGATCCCTTCATAACTGAGCTTGTAATTGGTGCTTGTGTGATGTTGTGTTTGTGGGTTATTGGTTTTATGGTGTGTTCATAGCTACTACACTGATTTGCGCCCTGTGACTTGGATTTCGTTGTCCAAGTTCTGGAGATTCAAATCAAGTGTTCGTTTGCAAACTTTATTTTTAGAATTGGTCTTTTGTGTTATATGGAAATCGGTAATGGTTGATTTGACGTGAGGGATTGAGTGGTATAGAACAAGTGAAAGTTTTAGAAGCACAGAATAAACAAAGAATAGAAAAATGAAGGCTGAATTGGGAACAACGTCAGTTGTAAACGATAGAATTAGGGAATAATTGATGTTCCAGATGTATTTTTGCATGTAGTGGAAGAAACAAAAGCCAATGTTCAAATTTATTTTTCAATAAACATGGCAGATGTTTTGATTCTGATCTGCTTTTGTTTGGGTTCTTTTTATTTTTGGCTTTATTTTTGAGTCACTTGCAAGCTTGGCCATCAATCATTAAACTGGTTTTTGGTTCATCAACCTTTGAGCCTGACCCTTTTCAGAAACCCTTGAGCATTATTAGCCTTTTGGTTGCCACCTTTCCTCCAACCCTCTCCTCTTTTGCTAGCTGTCTTACTTTTTACTGTTTCAACTTTCAACCTGTGTGCATTGGAGGCTTTCAATTGTTAAAGATATAAACTATAAAGTATCTGAATTCGCCTTCTGGATGAGCTGCAGAAGAGGAAAAATCTGCTGAGGTTTCTTTTATTGTGAAAACCAGACTTATGAGAAAATAGCATGGCATCATTTGATTCATAATCATTACATTTGTTGCTTCTTTATCTTTTTGTGGTGTGAGAAATATTTTAAGAGATCAAATGTTTCTTGCTTGCACAGTGCATTCTTTTGAGAAGTGTGAAAATTGTTGATGTTTGTGAAAACTATAGAAACTGAAATAAAAACAAAGAAAGAAAAGAACTCATGCTATTAGTGGGCTTGGTTATCTTATTTTCACTATTCGAATATTCTTATGGTTATATCTTAGGGTTTAAATGTGATGCTTGCTTTAAATGGAGGAAAGATAAGAATTAAGTAATGATAAGGGTGAAATATTGTGCGGGTATTTTCAATATTCACAGCAGTTTGCATATAAGTTTACAGTGTATGAGGTTAGTTGCTTAATCTTTTTTCAGTTTTAGAATAGGTGTCTTATACCTAACCTAGTTGACATTTTGCGCATAGTAAGGGTAAAGAAATATCAGTGTAAAGAAGCTTCATTAGATGGTGCTTCTTTAACATCTAATATTCAATTTTACTCAAATCTTCCAAGCATAATTGTACAATATTGTGTTGATTTATATATAATATTATTTCTTCCGGTACAGATACTGTTTTACATACTATATCCCACTCTCTATCTACCAGATTCAGTTTGATGAGATGAGAAATCAATGCTTATTAAAAATTTTAAACATGTCTTGTGTTTGTTCATTAACACTTGAATCTTATTTCTAACACACCTTCCTGCTGAAGGTTGCAGGAGTCACAATGAGTCTGGCATGTCTTGTGTGCCATAGTGTGGATAGTCCATCACCATCACACTCTTTCAGAAGTTACTCTGTCTCAAGTTCAGAAAATGAAGGAAGATGTTCCGCTGTTGCAACATGCTTAACCAGGAAATTATCTCTTCCACCCTCTACTGTGCACTCTTTTCTAGCACCATCATCAACATCCAAGGTGACCCCACAGCCTACTGTTTCCTGTAACAACTTGATAACTGGTACCCCGCGACTTGTACGAAGTCACGCTGTAACGAGGGACCGAGTAAGAGATTGGAATTTTGATGAAATTGTAATTGAGTCTTAGTCAAAATATAAGATAGAATAAAGACTAGGGAATCTTCTTGTGGGGTAGTTTAGAGAATGGTACTGCTATTTTGCCCCTTTAAATTTTGTTATGGGTGCAATTGATCTCCTTCTCTAGTTTTCTTGTAAAAGAGTCTGAACATTTGTAGCCATCATGAAATTCTAAGGTGTGATTCTATTTTAATTGGCATTTCCCATTTGGTTCACGACCAGTTAAAATTAAAGTTTTTTGTCTAAAACTAAAAGGTATACTTAAGTATCAAAATTGACTACTAATGGATTAATCAACAAATTTTGCCACTTTATTATCACTTGGATTTTACATCTCACTTTTTCAGATTGCTCTTTCGATAGCACACACAAAGAACGTGTATAGAAAAAGTTTTGTGAGAAAGGTAAAGTTCACTTCAATGATCCTAGCATCTCGAAAGAGAATAGTCACTTTGAGAATTCGGTTGTGTTATTAATTTCTTTCATGTTTAGCAATAGAGAAATGTTAAATATATATATATATATATATATATATATATATATATTATTTTTTAGCGTATTTTTATTATTAATTAAAATCTATGAGATGCATGAAATTATGAAAAATCACTTAATAGAATGAAATTCACAATATTTTGTAAGTCTGACAATTTTTCAATCAACAATAAGAAAATTTTTGAAAATTTAAAATTCTGTTGATTTGTGTCTTAAATCCGCACAAGATTAAGACATTTTCAAGTTATTTCCTGAAAATGTATTGGTATTAAGTCAAATTCTAAATTGAAGATAAACTTGGCAGGTTATTCTGTTTCCTTCCAAGGAAGGAAATAAGGATTTCTCTCATGGATTTCATGCAGTTTGTCTCCTGCCAGTAAGTGAAGGAAATCTAGTGCTGATTTTGTAGGGACGTGTATGCCTTAGTTCAAGTAATATCAAAACTCGATTGCTTTACGACAATAATCTATTTTATTTGGTAACACATATTTCAATATGAAATTTATGGTTAAAATTAATTTAAGCTTATATATTTGTATCATATGCAATAATTTAAAATTGTTGTTATTAAAACTAATAATGAAAATCTAAGACAAACGAGACACTCAGTTGGGTAGAAAATTTCATCGCCATGACCCCATTTTTCTGCTCTGTGTCTCCTCCTCCAAGATTCAGTTGCAGCCTTTATAACGGTGGAATACTACCTGTGGATCACTAAATTTGGTGTGATTGACCCCACCGGTGTCACATTGAGAGTTATGTCCTCGTAATAAATGGAGACAAGATGAAGCAATAACTTGGTATTTATAACTGGAGTAATTGACACCACCTTTTAGCATTATATATTTTCGTTCGAGGAGCTGCATGTGTCACTGTGTGACAACTAAGGTCACGTGATGGTACATCTCTTCTTATGTCCACATTAACAAAACACTTGGCCGGTCTCTATTTCGACGGTGGTTATGGTTCTTGTTCGGAATTTGCTTGATCTTTAATAGAGTGGACAGAGGTTGATCCAAAGAATAACAACGGAGAGATAAAAATTAAGAAAAAAAAAAGTACTTTTGATCTCCTAACTACGAAATTTGTGTGATTTAATTCTTATTTTTAATTGTGCAATTTTAGAATATAATTTTTTAAAAGTACAATTTTAATCCTTCTGTTGTGTGTCCATCCAAAATTTAACGGAAATAAATGACATAAGAAAGTTGAATATGTGTTAGAAAATTAAAATAAATAAATAAAAAAACTCATGTGTCATGTGAGAAGCACTCGAGGCCATAAAGAATAATTTCGGGTTTATATGTCCATGTGCCCCCCTGCAAAAGGGGAAAAAATTACGTTCGACAAGTTTAGGGTTTCATCCCGGTGGGAAGGCATTTGAGAGTCTATTTTTGAGCTTAAAGCAGTCCCAAATCACACACCTAGTTACCATTTTATCACGATGATCAGTTGTTCCTTGTGCAGGTAGAATATGGGGGCACAGAGGCAAAGATATTTTTTATGGCCTCGTGTGCTTCTCACATGAGTTTTTTTTTTTTTATATATATAATTTTCTACTTCAGATCAACCGGAAATATCAAAATTTTAATAAAAAAAAAAATTATTATATTTTTATAACTTTGATATATTTGATGTTGGATTAAACTTTCACTTTTAGGAAATTATGAAACTGAAGATTCACAGTTAAAATATAGAACTAAAATTGAATAAATTACACTTAATTGAGAGACTAATATAATTTAAAAAAATAACATACACCAACAAATCCTTTATGCATTATACTGGCATTTTAAATTTAGATAAAAATTTAAAATATAAATTAAAAATATAAAAGAAATAAATTATAATTGCCAAGATTGATATAAAATACGACAGAAAATGTCTTCTTTTATTAAGAATGAAAATCATATTTTATTATATAAGTATTAATTAAATAGATAATACATTTAAAAATGAGGAATAAATTATAAAAAATAAATAAATTGCTTAAACAGAAGGGGGAGGGAGACCATCGTCAACCATACCAGCATACATATTAATCTTTTGTATGATGAATTGATGATGCATATAAAAGATCGAATTGAGGGGTTGGAGCTCTCCTATAACACCCTAATTTCTATTAATTATTGACTGTAAATAAAAATCTTGCACGTAAGTGGTAAAAAAATTAATTTTATTGTAATGTTTAATTTTTATGTTTGGATTCTTTGATTAGACGATTAAGCTATAAATTTAGCCTAGAAAATATTTTTAAAACTTAAGAAAAAATTTAAAATTAATTATTAGAATTCAAAAGAATTCTTACAAGAAAATATAACATTTATTTCTTGAAAATTAATTTTTTACTTAAATTTATCTAGAAAATTCAAAATTTTTCTTAAGCATAACATACTTTTAAATTCTGTTTTAGAATAATTTTAGTCTTTAAATAATTTTAAAATATAAAATAAATTGACAAAAGAATTTAAGCCTAAAATAAACCCTAACAGATCCATGTAGTTAAAATTGGGCCAAATTTTTTTTCTATGATCATCAATGAAGGAACCGTGGGAGCGTAACGAACTGTGTCTCGCTTTATTTATGTGATTATTCATAAAATGAATGGTAACAAATATTAGTGTTATAATTTTGAGATATATGATTGTCATGTAACGAAAGTCAATTATAGTTGTTCTTGTCAGGGAAACACTAGTCTTCAAGTTTTTACTATGAAACGATGACGTCCTTCTGACTGTTGCTGACGTGGGGAGGGTACCTGCAAAAGGCACTCTGATGCTGAAGTCAGGATTTGGTTCTGAGCAATAAATGTTATTTTAATAATGAAAAGTCCACCCTTTACCTGTACTTCTTACCTTCCTTTTATAGGCTTTGTTATGGGCTAATGGGCCTGCTGAGTCAGCCTTGACTTTTGGCCCTTTACTTTAAAGTAGATAATGCTCTGATTATTACCTTTAATTAGGTTAATTACCTTCTAATCCTGACAATAGGTATTCAGTCAAACTGGGCCGAATAGGTACTCGGTTTCCTTTTACTATATATAGGGCCGAGCAGTTCCCTATTCAGTACACTAGCTTCCTAAGCCCGAAGAGGTACGAAGCAAGGGCTTAATAATATAAGGTGCCAAGAAAATGTAGACGAGGGGGGTACTCAGTTTGCTAGTATGGATAGGAATACTGAGGGGGTACTCAGTTCAAGTATAGGAAAACAATGAGGTATGTGCACCGAAGGGGTATTCGATTTATCAAAGAAGTGGTATGGACCAAGGAGGTAAAAAACCATAAACCATAAAAATAAAAAGAAAAAATAAAATAATAAAAATGAAAAAAGACCATTCTAGAACTTCAAGTTTTTAGGGTTTCTCAATGTGTGCGCACGAAACAAAAAGGTACTTGATCTCAACCGTTTGATTTAAAAGAGATCTGTCGGTTTGGATGAGGTCCAACCCTTCATATGTCCGAGGGCCCTAAACCCTATAAATACATGGTGGTCCGGGTCTTTTGTTCTCCACTTCTTTTTTTTAGCTGAGAAGTACACAGTGTTGCTCCAAACCGAAGGGTACTCAAATTTTCTCTTTTCTTCCGAACTGACTACCTGTGAGGTATGTTTAGTTCTTCTTTCCCTTCCTTATTTTACCATGGCCGAATCCTTAGAATGGGAGGACTCGTTGTCTGACTCATCTAGGCCGACTAGTATCAATAGTCAGAATGCTGAGAGAACCGAAGGGAGGTGGAAATTTCTTCAAGACCAAGTGGGGTAAATGAAGAAGTAGAGATTAGAGAATGCAATGACGGAGCCGAATCATCTGAGTCCATTGATTCTAATTCTTCTGAGCCCCTACCAGGCATAAGCCCCCCTAGGGAAAGACCAATATTCCCTCCTTGTGTACTTCTTGGATATGAGTGGGTACACGGTGAAGTAGCCGCCTACTTCTCTCGATTTAGAAAAAATAGGAGTCTTCAATCCTTTGTTGATCATATTGGCATTTCATTATGGGAACCTTCTGATCCCTACCCCATATCCATTAACCCTTTCCTAGGAGAGGAAACCGAGAACCCAAATTTTGTTTTTTTAGGGGGTGTCAGGATGACTGACACTTTCTTTGTGTATGAGTATATGTTTAGAGAATTAGGTATAAAGCTACCTTTAGACGACTTCCAAATGGGAGTATAACTCTATCCGAATGGATGGGCGGCTATCCAAGCTTTTAGAATTTTATATAAATTTTATTACATAGAACCTAGTGTAGGTTTATTTCTTCATTTCTTCTGTACTCGTCCTTCAGATTTAGCAAGGTGGGTATCTTTAATAAGGCAATTGGAGTTGCCACTATTCAAGCCTTACGCTTCTTCTTTTAAGGGTTTTAAGACCAGATACTTTAAAGTAACCGTCCACTCTGTAGGTAGAAATTTTTTCTTTGATAGTGAGAATAATCCTCTCTTCCCCTTCCACTGAACTCGAGTGCCTTGCCAGTACGACTGGATTCCGGAGGACCTTTTGTCGGCCAGAGAGTTATCGGCCTTGGATTACTTGAAGTCTCTTCCCCGAGAGCTTCCTGCCCGACACATACTCTTAGTATTAAAATCTCCTCGTCCTCGCCTGGACATGGATGGTATGTTCCGTCCCTATGGTTTAGTTTTTTGAATTAACTTGTATTGATTTGACTCTTTGTTTTTATTGTAGGTCTGATGGCTCAAC